TTTTTTTTTTTTTTTTTTTTGGTTACCAGGGATCAAACTCAGGACCTTGAACTTGCAAGGCAGGTGCAATGCCGCTAAGTACATCCCTGGCCCAAGCCCAGCTTAAAACTTAGTTTTCTACCTACATTTTAAACAAAATTAACATTTTTCTTTGGTACCGAAGATCGAGCTCGGGTCCTTGTACTTGCCAGGCAGGCAGTGGAAACCACTGAGCTAAATCTCCAGCCCCAACAAAATTTAAATTTAACTTAAACTTTAAAGTTTTTCTCAAATCTGTCATCTTTTCCCTGGCTAGCCGTAAGGCTGTAAAGTGCCCCATGCCCCATCATTTCCCTCCTCCTTAGCAGAACTCTCACCTTCTGGAGGCTTTTGTTGAACTCTAGACCACCGTCCAAAGGAACAATGACTCACCCATGTCTAGAGCCTCCAGGTGAGTCAGAGATGAGGTTCCCTGATAATTCCACAGCCACCCACCCAGGCTAGTCAGTCCCTGATGCAGAGAGGGGACCATGACCACATGGCCTTGGGCGCAGGCAGAGGCAGAGACAGAGGAACATGGGACAAAGGTAACAGAACCAGCCCAGCAGCCCCCGTGGGCAGACCTCAGTTGGGAGCCAGGACTCCCATGGGGGTTAGCTCCAGATTCCACGTCTGGGAGCACAGAGCTTCCTAACACAATCTGTACCCTCAGGCCCACCAGTGACAATGCTAAGATGCAGGGCTAAAGCTTGAATCTTCCAGCAGCCAACTCCAAGCCTCTCCAGCCTACTTGAGGTCAGACTGAACCCTTCTTGAAGGTTCTACTGATCCTCCCAAGCTGGGCTGTGCTGTCAGCACCGTCACACCTGTCCCTCAGTGATGGTCACCTTGCGTGTTCGCAGAGCTGGGGACAGGGCCCTCGATGAGACCTGTGGCTGCAGCTGTCTCCACACACGGCACCACCACATCATGGAGGAAACATCAAGGGCGACGCAGACACCCACCAGGTCTCCATCCAGCACCGCCGTCTCTGCGTATGGGCCAGCGCTGTGGCCCCTGCTCATCAGCCCGGCAGTGCGTGGGGGTACTGGTCTACAGAAGGGTTCTGGTAAGTATCTGGTAATTTGGTTTAAATACTGCAGCTTTCTTTCTTTTTTTTTTTTTTTTGATCTTTGCTTTTTCCCCAATTTTTTTTTATTCCTGTAAGAAAGGCTGATACGACACATTCTCACATCTCTAACATAGGACACATTCAAGTTATATGATAGTCTTCCAGCTAGTAATCAGATAGTAGGGAACTTTCTTGTTTAGAGAAACAAAAAGCCTAAATATTTTTTGTTTTGGTACCGGAGATCAACCTCAGGACCCTGCACTTTTGAGGAAGGTGGCCGAACCTCTGAGCTAAATCCCCAGCCCAAAAACCTGAATTTTTAAATCCCTATTTCTAGATAGAATTGGGCCTAATGAGAAGGGAAATAATGACCAGAAGCTTAATTCTCTATCACAAAGTGACTTTTAGGGGAGAGGGTTCTGTGATCAAACCCACACCCGTGCACAGGCCAAGCCTTCATTTTAACCCTGAGCTATACTACTGGCCTAAGTAAAATTTTTTAACAGAAAAATTCTTTGGTACATTTTGGGCATATATAATGACAACATTCATTGCAGGGAATGTGCACATATCTAAGAAGTAAATTTTGACAGACTGGAGTACATTCCACTGAGCTACCTTCCCAGCCCCTTTACAAAACCTTTCTGGAACAATGTCTCAATAAAGTTGCTAAGTTGCCCAGGATGGGTGATCTTCCTGCCTCAGCCTCCCAAATTGCTGGGATTATAGGGTGTGCCACTGTTTTATTTAACATTTTAAGGAGTGTCAAACACTTTTGAGAAGGACTGCACCATTCTAACTCAGCAATATAAAAGGGCTCCAAGTGCTCCAAATCCTGTCACTTGTGGGGTCTGGGGAGGGGTCTGAGATTGAACCTGAGGCTGCACTCATGCTGAAAGGGCGCTTACCAGTGAGCTGGCCTATCCCATGGGTGTGCAACTGCATTGCGTGTGGGCTCTCAAGTACTGTGCACACCAGCTCACAGCTCGTTCACACCACTATCATTCAAAAACCTGTTCTGCAATATTTAAATCCTATTAACCTTTCAGACCACAACAGAACACAGAGCCAGATTCCACAGTGTCAACAGCACAGGGCATCGCTGTGCCGACTCTACAGCTACTAGGCACAATCCGAGTGGGAAGGGAGGAACCAGAGCAAGGCAGGCTCATGTCCGTCTAGGCGGGGGTTCTGTGCTGCAGTGAAGAACAGCTGTAGTGGGCTGGAGGAGTCTGGCCTGCCCGCAACGCACTGAAAGGGCTGCTGCAGGTCACCACTGCTCAGACACGCAGTCCCTAAGCAGACACAGACTCTGGAAGGAGCACTCAATAAGACCGTGACTGAGGCCTAAGCAGTCTCCTCCCCAAGCCACCCAGAAGGGCGAGGACATCAAATCTAGCAAACGTGCTCAGTCCTTCGAAGGCCAACCATAGGATCCAGTTCCCTACTAAGCAGAATGGTCCCCCAGAGGGCTGCCACAGAGACATAAGGACCACTGGCTCTAGAATGCTGGCCTCTCTGCCACCGGCCTGGAAAAAAAACGCAGAATGTTGGGTCCTGAGATGGGAGCCTTCCTTTATACTTCCGTGTGTTTCTCAAAGTGCCATCTCTTCAGAAGGGAGCTAAGTCAACACTAGGAAGCTTCAGACGCACACTTCTGGACCCTGCTTCTGTGGTCCTAGGGACTGAGCCTAGGGCTTCATACTAAGTGCTATTCCAGCCCTTGGTACTCATGTTTTTTTTCTTTCCCCTTCATACTGGGGATTGAACTTGGGTCCCTGTGCTTGTGAGGCACGCGGGGCACCACTGAGCTAAATCCCCGGCCCAGCACTTGGTTGGCGAGCTACCCAGGCTGGGCTGGAGCTCTCAATCCTCGTGCCTCTCTCACTGCACCTGGCATGGTTCTCCATTTTTGCCAGACACTGTCAC